GAAAGAAAGAAAGAAAGAAAGAAAGAAAGAAAGAAAGAAAGAACAAAAGGAAAAGAAAAGAAGGCAGGTGGTCTGGGGAAATAACTGGGTGATCTAAGCGCCTGACTGACAAGCGCAAGGACTCAGGTTTGATCCCCTGTACCGCATGCCATGCCAGCCCTGGAATCCTGGGCGCACTGTACCAGCCACTGAAACCCAGCCTGGTGGTGATGCTTGTAATCCCAGTGCTGGGGAGGCTGAGACAGGAGGATCACTATGAGTCTGAGCTGCATAGTGAGACCCTGTACCAAATAAGTAAAGATAAAAAAAGAAAAAAAGAGAAAAAGAAAAAAGGAAAGAAAAAAAGAGTGGTGATACATGTCTGTAATCCTACCACTTGGGAGGCTGAGGCAGGAGGCTTGCTGTGACATTGAGGCCAGTCTAGGTTACATAATGAGTTCAAGGCCATCCTGAACTGCATAGCAAGACCCTGTCTCCAAAACAAAACAAAAGAGAAAGAAAAAAAAAAGAAAATATTAAAAAGACAAATCTTTTATCATTCTTATTTAAAAATTTTCAGCTAGGTGGAGAATCATGAGTTTCAGGCCAGCCTGGCCTATATGGTGAGAACTGGGAGGCTGAGGCAGGAGGGTGGCAAGTTTGAGGTCAGCTTGGATTTCACAGCAAGACTATCTCAAAAAAAATAAGTGAAAATAAACTTTTTTCATGCCTCAATTGCCTGAAAGTGTAAATCCATATTTCTTTATGTGACATATCAGGCTTTCCAAAGTCTCTGTCTTTGTTTTTTGTTGTTGTTGGTTTGTTTTTTGGTGGTACTGGGGGCTGAACCCAGGGCCTTCGCACTGAGCTACATCCCTGGCTCTCTTTTTAAAATCCTGATTAAGGGTCTCATTAAGTCACTAAACTGCCCAATTTGGACTGTAACTTATAATCCTGCTACAGCCTCCCAGAGTGCTGGGAAGACAAGGGTGTGCCACCATGCCCACCTGTCCATTGATGGCTGCCACTCCGCCCAGTACCTGCCCTCTGCCAACAAGCCTGTTCAGTCGTGCACGCCTGGGCTGCAGCTCCTCTGGGTCTGCCCTCCCTGCACTCCCCTGCACAGCCCTGGCCCTACTGCTGCAGCTCCTGGCTCAGCCCCATTCAGACGCCTGGAACCCACTCCTGGCACCCCAAGGTCCTAGCCTGCACAGCTCTCTTCTGCCATTCTCTCCCTGCTTCTGTGCTTTTGTTTTCAAGTGCACTTTATTTTTTGGAGCCAGACATGGAGGCATGTGGCACTTGGGAGGCTGAGGTAGGAGGGTTGCTTATGAGTTTGAGGCCAAGCTGGGCAGTATAATAAGTCCAGGCCAGCTTGAACTAAATAGTGAGACCACGTCTTCGAAAAAATAAAAATAAGTTCATTTTATATTGCATGCATGTTTATGACCCAAAATAGTCACACTCATGGCGCGGAACTGGTATATAACCATTGCCTCTCAGCCCTTTATACTCCCCTCCCCGACCCCTTTTCGGCTCCATAGAGTCTGCCCCCGTACCCTCTGTTCCTCTTTGGTTTTGCTCTTTAAATTATGTACAGCATGGGTCTGTCCTGTGTGATACTGAACCTCCCCTCATCTCCCCCTCTTCAGCGCCAGCTCCTTGTGGACAGAGGTCTGACAGAGCTCACACTTAGGATCCTGGCAATTGGCATGGGCTCCCCGTGCCCCCTCACATCCATCTGTGGAGCCCCTAGTACCCCAGAATGTGCCTTGTTTGAGAACAGGACCCACACTGAGCCAAATGGGCTGGGGCACACCAGTGATCCCTGCCCTCTGGGTGTCTGGGGTGGGAGAGTTGCAAGGTTGACTCCTTCTTGGGTAATTTAGTGGCTTAGTGAGAACCTGATTCAAAATTTAAAATTTGACAGACAGGCTAGAGATGTAGCTCAGTGAGAAGCCCCCGGGTTCAGTCCCCAATCACACACACACACACACACACACAAATTAATATTAAAATTAAAGTTAAAAGATGACATCCTGAAATAGAGTAAGCCCCTAACCCTGTGTGATTGGTATCTTTCTAAGGAGAAACCACTTCCTTCCTGTGTGCCGGTGGCCACCCTCACACCAGTGAGTGTACTTCTTTTCCTACTTTTCCTTGGCCCAAGCTTGCTTCACAGGGCTTGCTTCTTTTCCTACCTTTAATAAAACTTTGCAAAAGAAAAAAAAAGAGAGAGAGAGACAAATGTGGGCGGCAAGGTACTGCCCCCTGTAATCTCAGCCACACAGGAGGCTGAGGTGGGAGATCACTTTGGCCACAGGGGTCCGAGGCCAGCCCAAGACAGAGTGAGACCTCATCCCAAAGCTCAGGTGGGGGCAGATTTGGACTCAGTAGAGGAAAGCACCATGGGATGGAAAGCCCAGGCACAGCCAGACCTGCAGAAGTGTGGATCAGACTTCCTCCCTGAGCTGAGAGGAAGCAACTCCTGCCACCTGGGTCTTGGGTTCCAGGAACGACAAGCCAGATTAGTCCTACGGCCGATATTGCCCAGATCAGTGCTTTGTCCTGTTTGCTCTGGTAGCTGCTGACTGAGCTGGTCTCAGAGGAGGGAGAAACCGGAAGGGAATTGGCCAGGCCTCCTGGCCGTTATGAACCATCCCCTGGGCAGTATCAGAGACTTTGAAGCTGGTTTTTCTCAGGCCTGGCACTACAGAGCGATAGGAACACAGCTGCACATGACGTAAAGCTAACAAGCATCTCCCCGATAGCTTCAGGAGAACATGGGAGGCAGCAGTATCCCTGACTTGTTATTGGATATGTTGTATCTGCTTGCACAGGGGTGGGGTGGGGGGGTGAGATGGGTGATACCCTCCTGTGAACATTGAAGCCAGGTGAGGTGGTGCAGCCCTGTAATGTTAGCACTCTGGGAGGCTGAGGCAGGAGGACTGCAAGAGCAAGCCCAGCCTAGGAAACTTCGTGATTTAGCAAGACCCTGTCTCAAAATAAAAAATAAAAACGGGTAAGGTAGCTCTGTGCAAAGGCTGTGGGTTCAATCTCAGCACTGCAAAAAAAAAAAAGAAAGAAAGAAAAGAGAAGAGAGGAGAGGAGAAAAGAAAAAAGGAGGGGGAGAAAAGAGGGGAAAGTAAAACAAGAGGTGTTAGGTGTGTGCATGTACCACCTCCCCTTGATGAGGGTTGTCATTATATATTGCAAACATGGACTAAAAAAATTAAAAAGAATGGGAGAAATAAAAAAAGAAAGGAATTACTTAAGCAACATGAGGCAAGCTCATCAGCTCTGCCTTCCAGAGGAAAATCCAAAGGCCTTTCAGCCCCTGGCCCCACCGACATTCAGCGGTATGACAAGTGACCCCGACCAGTGCCTGTTCTGCAGCCGCAGCCTGGCCTCTGTCTCAGTGTCCATGCCAGCCACCCTCAGCCATCTGCACTCTGAGGGTGTTCAGGCAGCTTTCAAATACCCCGGTCCCACGACTGTAAACCAGGGCTTCACTGGTCAGCCTTGGCACTCCCGGAAGGTAAGAGGAGGAGAACTGCAGGACAGGACTGGGAAGGGCTTTGGGGTGCTCATGGGAAGGAAGAGGGTTCTGGGCCACGCACCTGTGCCTCTCCCCCTGGGCCAGGTACTCGATCTCCTTGAGGATTTGGCTCTTCCCATAGCCTGTTATGCCTTCGTAAATGAGGACACGGCTATAGCCAGAAATCAGAAATCTCTTCATATTATCCATGAAGTACTTGATCTCCTTATCACGTCCTGTTATTTTTATTTTTTAAAAAAGGAGTAAACTAATCAACATCCATAGAGCTATAAGAAAGCGCATAGTGAATGCCTCCCAAGAACATTCCTGGAGACCCCCGGCATTGTTCGCTGACCCTCCCCAGAGCCTATGTGCTTCATTTCTGACACACAGTCTTGCTAGGAGCCCGGGGTCGGCCTCGATCTCTGGGTGTTCCTGGTGCAGCCTCACTGTGCTGGGATTCCGGGTGTGTACCACTGCACCTGGCCCTCGGGTACGTTCAGTTTTAAGAGTCTCCCTCTAGAACTTTCTAGTTAACAAGGTGGTTTTGTAGTTTCATTTGACTACCACAAGCTGTGAAAGAAAGTTGGGTTTTTGGTTTTGTTTTACTTCTTTATTTTTGTTTTTTTGAGATAGGATCTGGCACAGGCTGGATTTGGACTCACTATGTAACCCAGGCTGGCCTTGAACTTGAAGTGATCCTCCTGTTTTGCTCTCCTGAGTGCTAGGATTATAAGTACTCATCACCACACCTGGCTCTGACCCAAATTCTTAGTAAAACTACATCGTGGGTTTTTTTTTTTTTCCTGATAAAACAAGTAGTGTTAGCCTGCATGTAGATGCTTCAGAAAAGAAATCTACATGCTGTACATGGTGATGGAGATTTCTGAATATGGTTTAGTCAGAGCCACTCTGTAGATTCTTTGGTGTGAAATTGTCCCTTCCTGAAATCTCATTTCTTTTTTATACTTTTATAAAATCTTTTATTTATTTATGTGGTACAGGGTCTTGCTGTGTGACTCAGAGCTATGCAGCTCAGACTCGTAGTGATCATCCTGTCTCAGCCTTCCCAGCTCTGGGACTACAGGCACACAGCACTACACCTGGCTTCGGTGACCAGCACAGGTGCGCCCAGGGTACCAGGGTCAGCAGGGTATATAGTACCAGGGATTGAACCCGGGTCCTTGCCCATGCCAGGCAGGTGCTTGGACCACTGAGCTATCTCCCCTGCCCTGAAATACTCTCATTTCAACTTCAGTTTTGTAAGCTGCATTGTTTTCCTTTGCTTGAAGCTCGTGAGGCTACAGAGCAGAAGCTTCTAGCTTCTAGCCCTCCGTGAGGGAACACGAGCAGGGAAAGCCAGTGAGTGTCATCATCTGGACTCTGCAGAGTGTAGGAACCAGTTACTCTTCTTCTGTGACCCTAGGGCTTGAACGCTAGCCTGCCCCATGCTAGGCAAATGCTCTTACCACTCCTCTCCAGGAAACTTTAAATATATGTGTCCTGTTTCTGTCTGAACGAAGCCCTATTATCTGGGCTGTTGTATGTATTTTGGAACTTAAAACGCCACTATATATTCATTGTACTTTTGTTGCCCATGTTACTGCAACGTTATGACAGGCACACTTATAAAGGATGGGTATTTCCTGCTCTGCAAACCCTGGAGGAGCTGCTTCGGGCTGTAGCTGCCAGGAAGGTGCGTGGGGCTGATGTTCACCTCACGTGGGTGGGATCTCACAAGAGACATGTGCGTGTCACACAGAGGCCTCATGACAGTGCTATCCTGTCTTCTGCAAGCCTGCAGAGGGAAATCAGGGACTCCTGCTCTGTGGTCACTATGAGCACTTTTGGGGCTGGAGAGCAAGGGCTCGAGGAGGTGAACGTGGGTCTCCTTTCTCCTCTGGCTTGCAGGAGTTTGGGGTCTTAGTGTACAAGAAGTGATATGCCGGAACACCCATAAAACCACCAGATGCCATGCCTGGCTGCATTTCCACTGACCCAGGTGCTTTTTGCTGCTCTGAGCCTCTTGCCTTCTCTCAGGGCCCTGCAGAAGATTCAATGTAGCATTCCTCCAAATGTGGTACAGGCCATCACCCCATCACCCCGACACAGTGGTGGCCAGGACTGAATTTGCACTGAGTCTCTCAGGGATATTCAGGTCTTCAGGCAGGAAGGGAATTCCTAGCCTCTTGGATCTGTTTTTGTCTAACTTGTGGGCAAGACTTATGGACAAGTTCCAAATAGAAGTCTTTTTTGCAAGCCAGAACTCACTGGTCAGTACAGCTTTTGACACATATTAGAAGGAATAAGCTGGGCATAGTGGCCCACATCTGTAATCTCTACTCAGGAGGCTGAGGCAAAGGGATCCCAAATTCAAACCCAGCCTGGGCAATTTGGTGACTTTGCATAGGCCCATCACAAAACAAAAAATAAAAGGGCTGAGGACACTTAGAAAGCAAGGATCACTACGTACCCAGCAAAGGGTAGCTCTCACTTCCTTTGGCCCTGAGGTACGCCATACCAAACACACTGCAAAAGGAAGAAGGAAGAGGAGTTAGATTGCAAGAGGAGTCCTGAGAGCACGGGCTTGGTTTTAGGTTCCCAGATGGGCTCTTCTTCAGTCTCTAATGAGAGTCTAAGCCCTAACTCAAGGGTTGCAGGTGCCAAAGGAGAAAGGAGGGGAAGTTCTACTTGGTCAGCGAGCAAGCTGACACCCATGTGCCAGCTGTTACTGTAGCACTTGGAACACTGTTTCACAAATGCTTTTTGGGTCTGCACAAGTAGAATAGACCCCTTTCAGGGAGACAAGCTCCTCAGTATGGGGCCCAATACACTTGGTACAGTGCAGTCTTATGTTCTGACAAGGTTCTACCAATTGCTTAAACAATAGCTCACCCTTGCTGAGCACATGCTATATAGGTCCAGGTTGGCCTCAGCCTCAAGATTCTCCTGCCTCAGCCTCCCGAGGGCTGGGACTTCCAGTGTGCACTACCATACCCTGTTCAAGGCCTTGGATTTCATCTTCAGCACTGGCAAAAGACTCGTGCTGGGTGGGGGCCCATGTCTGTAGACTCCAGAGGATGAGATAGGAGGATCATAAGTTCAAGGCCAGCCTGGGATACTAGAGTTCAAGGAGGAGGTGGGGTAGGAAGACCAGGGGGTACCTTATGTGTCACCGTAAGGAATTTGAACACTGGCCTCAACGTGACTGGAAGCAACTGAATGATTTTAAGCCCACAGTGACATCCACAAGTCTAAGCTGGACTTTGGGGAAGTGTATTTCACTAAAGACCTAGGAGAGGAAGAACAGTGTATACTCTTATAACCTCATCAAAACCTTAGCACATGGTTGGCCCCATCAGTAGATGCTTGCTTGATGGTGACTGGTCCATCTGGGGGGAAAGAGATGCTTACATACGGAAATTCTCTGGTCTGTTTGTGTAATCTTTGAAGACTCACCCTCAAATTTTCTGGCCAAAGGGCACAGTAGGATCTCCCCTTGGGCCATAAGAGCAGCAGGACAGAGTGGAGATGAAGGGTTTTGAAATCAGACCATTGGACTGGGACAGACCATATTCCTGCTTGCTGAAATGCCAGACTCTCACACGGCTGCCCATGACCTGCCTAGGTAGGTGCATCCTCCCACTTCTCCAGAAAATACTGAAAAATCCATGCCCACACTCACACTTCCTCATTGAGGCCCAAGCACTGATAGACTGGTCCTGGGTCTGCAACGCCTTTCAGCACTTTCTTTGGGAGCTCTTTAAAGAAGTAAGCTGGTAGGTTGCTGCTATTGTAGGTCACAGAGTCACAGGTCACAATTCCTGGGTAGTACATCATGATCCTGGCGGCGATGTTGACTTTCTGACCAATGACTGCCACGGAAAGAAGTAGCTAAAGCCATGGAGCCCAAGGTCATCTGAGGACAGCCCCTGCATACCCTGTACACTTTGTGAGTTTCCCTTCTACTAGCTGTGGTCAGCCAGGAGCTATTTGCACAGATTCAGAAGTGACTCTTGCGCCATCAGCAGTCATCATCTGGGAGCCTGCTTTGGGCTAGAAGGACCTGGGACAGGAAGAAGTCTGTAAGCCAGATGGCTATGGGCCTCAAAGCCTCTCAGATAAGGCGTATGCATGAAGCAGATGAACTTGGTGGCACAACACTGTAATTCCAGCATTCTAGGAGCTTGATGCAGGGAAACTGGAAGATTGAGCACAGCGTAGGCTATTCAATTTAGCACATCTTGGCAAGGGTTGGGGACATGGCTTGGTACGAAGGCCCTGGATTCAATCCCCAGTCACACACACACACACACACACACACACACACACACACACAGCAGTTTTACCTTAACCTGTCCCATTCCAGGAGCACAGCTAGGAGGCTATTTAATAACAGGAAATTTTTCTGGAAGGCCCTCACCTCTACCATGAGCATCTCACTACCCACCCTGCTCTGGGGGCGCTGGATGTCTTAAGCTCACACACATTGTAGAAGCTGGAGTCCACAGCCCAGCCTGGGCCCCTGGTCCTGTACCCTCCCCCAGCAGGGCAGACCCCAGCACCTGTGTACTCATGTCGCATTGTGTGTCCGATGATGCCACAGAAGACGATGCCGCTGGCCACACCGATGGACACCGTACTAGCACCAGGGAGAGAGGGTTGTATAGAAGCCATTGATATCATGAACATTGGCATAAGAGAAGAATTTCCAAAATGGTGGTGAGCACCGAGAGGGTAGAAGGGAAGGAAGACAGCAAGTGGGGTATGGAGGGACGGGAAAGGGTTTTTGATAAATAATTCTCTAACTCTCAAGGGGGGATGCCTGCCTGTGGTACTGGCACTTTGGGAGGCTGAGGCAAGAGGATGACAAATATGAGCCCACTCTGGGCAACTTAGTGAGACACTGCCTTAAAGTAAAAAAGAGTGAGTATGTAGCTCCGTTTGAAGGCCTTGGGTTCAATTTCTAGTACCACGAAAAAGAAAATGAAAATAACAACATAAACCTCATGCCCTTTGTTGGTAGTCTGTGGCAACTGTACAAGGCCTGGAAGTAGGAAGGACCAAGAGTCTGAGGTACAGAACTGAGTTCTTAGTTCTTTTCCTTCTTTTCTGCCCCTGAAAGCCCTACCCCCACCCCATTTAGGAAGGTCCAGGACCACATGTGGGCTCAGGGTGACACTCACTGGATCTTAGGCACCTGGGAGCAGAAGTCGAATATGTCCACAGCACTTTCCAAAGCGTGAGTGACTTCGTTGGGCTCCTTTTCTCCGGGGAAACCAAAGACACAAAGGAAGGAACAGCCCTGCAGGGAGAGGGTGAATGCGTGGTGGGCAGTCGTGGCACCAGGGAGGGTTGCGCTGGCCCTCAGAGCACCACAGCGATTCTCTGAGTCTTTCTCTTATGCCTGACCTGATTTTGCATCAACTTTGTATAACTTGTAGTACACCATCCACAGCAGAATTTGGAAGCGGAGTGTAGTAGTGGGTATGTGTAATTCCAGCACTCTGGGAGGCTGAGGCAGAAAGATCACAAGTGTGAGCCCAGGCTGGGCAATTTAGCAACTTGCCTCAAAATTTTAAAAAAGGCCTAGGGGTACAGGACACTATGAAGGCCCGCGGTTCAATTCCAATACAGAGAGAGAAAGAGGGAGAGGGAGACAGACAGAGACAGAGACACAGAAGGAAAGGGAGGAAAGAAGGAAGGAAGAGAGACGGGGAGAGGACGGCTGCCCATACCACCCTGGTAGAGGCCACATGTGTAGCTCTAGCTGCGTGAGTCCCTGGGTTCATCGCAGCACTGTGGGAAGGTGCAGGGGAGGTGTTTGCTGCCTACCCCTGAGTCCCAGCTACTCAAAAGTCCCGCCATGATGATCCCTGTAGTTCAGGAGTTTGAGACCAGCTCAGGCAACACAGTGAGACTCCTTCCTAAAGCACAAAGGAAGTGGGGTGGGTAAACTAAGGCTCCTGGAAGTTGGAAGACTGAGGCTGCACAGAGCTTTCATTCTGTAAATCCCTCTGAGGGACACTGCGAGGGATCCAGAGCCAGGAGTGATCACCAGGAACTCCTCGACCACACAGCCCTGGAGCTGCCTGCGAGCCGTGGCAAGGGGTGCGGTCTCTCCCCTCTGATTCCAGCCTGACCCAGGCTGCCAGGGGAGCAGTCACAGGAGGCGTGGGTGCTGGCAGGGGGCGATGCAACTGTGTTCTACTTTTTTTGTGGTACTAGGGATTAAATTTAGGGCCCTGAGCGCAGTAGCCACAATGTCTCCCTTCCATGGTCCTTTGGACTTTGGGGAAGGACCAGGAGCCACGTGGTGCCAGATCCAGGGAAGAAGGTAAGTGACATCATCATGTTTTTACCCATCTGCCTTTTGTCAGATGGCACTGGGCAGCAGCATTTATTGTTTGTTTGTTTTACCATAACCTGTGAAGACACTCCAGAAAGAGTATTCTGGAACTGCTTTCGTAGAGTGGCAAGGCCACATGGATCAGTGTGTGCAGTGACGCGGAGGATTTCGAGGGGGATTCGTGGCAATGTGTCTTTCACTGTAACACATTTTAAAAACTTAAACATGCATTATCTACTCTTGTCACACCTCACATGTGACATGTTGAGAACAGAGTTCCACATAGTGAGTGCCGCGTGTGCCACGTGAGTTATAATCCTAAATAAAGACGGAGACTTCCAGGTTAAATGTCTACTCATCTAGTCCCCTGTCTCCAGCTATTGGCAGGTCCCGCCCCTCCTTGTTCCTGTTTACCTTGTCAAACATGAAGACTTTATTGATCTGGCCTCGGAAGGCCTGCAGGGTCGAGGTGATGTGCTCACAGGCGTCCTGGATGGCTGAACCTATGACTTCCACCTTGTTCTGCTCTTTAAATACCAGGTTCACAAACACAATCGTCACTGGCCGAAGCTCAGACAAATAGCCCCGGAGCTGTCTATCATCAATCTGCAGGGTTGAAAGCAGTTCTCTGTGCTATGGGTCCCAGGCCACCCCCACTCCCAACCCTAAAATCCTGAGGTGGAAGAAAGGAGTCCTTTTTTTCCTTCCTCAGGGGATTAAACCCAGGGCCCTCACATGGAACAATGTACTCAGTACTTCTTTTTATTTTTAATTTTGAGACAAGAGTCTGCTGCCCAGGCTGGATTTGAACTTTCGATCCTCCTGCCTCAGCCTCCCAGAGTGCAGGTGAGATTACAGGTGCAGGCCACCACACCCGGCGGCAAAAGGAGTGTTCTGAGACTCTTTGGAGGAGCTCAGGTTACCAGGATGTGAGAGATGCCAGGCTGCAGAGCCTGCCTGCCTGAAATCAAGCAGAGGGAAAAAAGTGCACCACCCAAATCTTCTCCAGGGACAACCATGCATTTACTGTTTTGGTTGACACCCGCAGTGTCATCCCAGGGACAAGTTTCTTCATACCAAGATGAGCCACCACAGTAAGAGGAAGAACTGCTGCTCCTTCTGCCTCCCCTGTCTGCATAGCTTTGGGGTCGGACCAGCGGGCCACGTAATTCCATCTTACACTGCAGTTTCACAGCCCAGCTCTTCCTGGAATACTTTTACACCTGAACCCACTCTTATCTTCAGACAGAATTAAGCCCATTCTCTTGTTTTAGATAACAGAAGGAGCACAGTTGTCCCAAGCAAGCTGGAACTTGGTTGTCTGGATGCCCGTGGCCACACTTGGCCACTGGCCTCTTGGGGGTATGCTCATGCAGCCTCCTCTACACACCAAGCTATCCTGATAGGCGTGGGGCAAAGAAAAGACAACAATGCCAAATTACTCCTGCTGGCCACTGCCCAGGAATTTTGTCAAATTGTTCTGAAAACCAGTGGCGGAAATCATTGTATTTTCTCCCCTAAATATCCATGCCTGGCTTTCTTCAACTTTTTTTTTTAAGGCAGGGTCTTGCTATAGAGCTCAGGCTGGTCTGAAACTCATGACAACCCTCCTGATGCAGGCTCCTGAGTGTTGGGGTTGCAGACCTGAGCCACCATGCCTAGCCATTGAAGATTTTTCACACTCAAGAAAGTCACTCCCTGTGAGTTAAAATAAAGCTTTCCTCCTTCAAGAAGGAAGGAAAGAAGGGAGGGAGGGAGGAAGAGAGGGAGAGAGAAAAGAGGGAGTGAGTGAGGGAGGGAGGGAGGGAGGAAGGAAGGAAGGAAGGAAGGGAGGGAGGAAGGAAGGAAGGAAGTTCATTTCTAGCTGGACATGGTGACACATGTCTATAATCCCAGCACTGGAAAGACTGAGGCAGGAGGATCCCTGTAAATTTGAGGCTAATCTGGGCTACTCTGAGTTCAAGACCAGTCTAAGGGCAGGTCAAATAGCTCAGCAGATTAAAGCACCTGCCAGCAGGTGCAGGAGCTGGGGGTTCGATCTCTGGGCCTGCTGTGCCAGCCCTGCCCTCAGGGGCGCTGAGACGGTGATTGAGACTGGGCATGGTGGCACGCACCTATAATCCCAGCTCTTGGGAGGCTATAAACAGGCGGATCACTATGAGTCTGATCTAGTAGTGAGACCCTGAACACCTTGTAGACCCTTCCCTAAAAAACACCCCCCCCAAAACCAAAGACCAGTCTAAGCTACATAGCAAACTGTTCACTCTTTCAAAAAACAAGCAAACTGCCAGATATGGTAGCACACACCTGTAATCTCAGCAGGCGAGAAGCTGAGGCAAGAAGATTGTCCTAAATTCAAGGCCAGTGTAGGCTACACAGTAAGACTGCCTATCAAAAAACCAAACCAAACCAAAACAAAAATCCTGACTTCAATTCCCTGCACCACAAACAAAACAAAACAACACAACACCAAAAACAAAACAAGCAAACAGAGGTACACACACACACACACACACACACACACACAGAGCATTAAGAGACTAGGAAAGGCAAACTCTGGGGAGCTGAAGGTAGATGGGGGGCCCTGGTTATGTAGCTTGCAGAGTCTGAAACTTAAGCTGAATGCAAGGGAATAGTAGCAGCATTGCACAGCACTTGTGCACCCTGCATCTTCCTGCCTGGGGGGAATCAAGGCAACACGCCGTCACACGCCTGCAGCTGCGCCCCCTGCCCAATGCTGCGAGGCAGCTCGGTCCTAGCCCTTCTGTCACAGTGCTCCTGTGAGTAACACCCCTTTAACTCCAGCTATGTCCAGAGCCTCACTCGCTCGGCAAGGACAGTGCTCTACCCTGAGCTACAGCCCCAGCTTCTACCTGAATGCTTTGGTTTGTTTGCTTGTTTGTTTAAGACAGGGTCCTGTGATGCAGCCTGTGCTGGCCTCAAACTGGCATTCTTCCTGCCTCAGGCTTGCCAGCACTGAGCTGATGGGTCAGTGTCACCACACATGGCCACCACATTGGCTCTTAATTGTGTTCTGACTTGAGGAATACACTGTGAAGTCACCTACAAAGAATGTCTTTTTATTTCAAAGGAATATTGTATATGCTGCTTTTTTTTTTTTAATGTCAATCCAGGTATGGTGGCACACCTGTAATCCCAGTACTTGGGAGGCACAGGCAGGAGGATTGTTGAATGTTTGAGACCAGCCTGGGATACAAAGTGAGTTCAAGGTCAACCTAAACTGCACAGTGAGACCCGATCTTAAAAAGACACACAGACACACACATACACACACACCCCCTAACAACAACAGCCCAAAACCGAAAACATAACTTTCCAGCGACCTCTCCAGCACCACACAGCCGGGGACTCCTCAGGAGGGTACCTGCTTCAGGATGCTCTCCATCACGTACTTCTGCAGTGATTCCTCCAGCTCTGGGTTGGACTCCAGCAAGCACGCCAACCTCAGCGCTAGGGGCAGAGGAGGCCGGCTCAGGATGGGAGCCACCTGCACTGGGCCCCTGGGAACCCATGGCCCAGAGGGGGAGCTGTTGGGGGTCATGGGGGCCCCCAGTTCTGCTGTAGTGTGGCTCAGTACCCTGGTATCATGTGCTGGGATTTGAGGAGACTTTAAATGGAGCTCAGTCTGAAGCTACTGCCCACCAGGATGGGAGTAGGCTGATCAGGGGACAGAGGACAGAGTCAGGATGGAGCGGGCAATAGAGTAGACAGAGCAGCAGGAGAAAGAGCCAGGAAAGTGGGCTCTGGTCTCAGAATGGTGACTGTCACATAAGAGCTACCCAAGGCCGTTGCTTTGGACTAAGCTCCTACATGGGGCCCCAACAGTCCCAGCTAAATGTCAAAATGGAGTCACTCAACGTTCCTGTCACCAAGCTAGAAGACAGCCATGGACCTCATCTGGGGAAATGTCAATGTTAGAGGGGCAACAACCCAACCTCCTGGTTTCATTTGTCAGGATAATGAGGTTCCTGATCCTTCAGCATTACACAGGAAGAGTAATGCTAACCAAGGAGCTATTTTATCACTTCCTGTCACTCAGGCCCTGCCCTATAAGGAAAATAGTGCTCACAGGGATGGAAGGAGGAAGATTCAGGAATGTGGCCCATGGTCTCAGAGTGGTGACTGTCTTTTGCTCTTTGTTTCTG